ATGTCCACTGCAGCAATGACAGGAGCAATATTCCCTGATGAATATTGTTTATGTATTCAGAAGATTACTCAGTAATGACAGTGGTCTGATAATGACACTAAACAGATAATTAGCAGGTGATTTACTGAACGACTGACTGAAGCTAAACACTGATTATGGTGCAGGGATTTCATTTTTATCTAATAATTATATGTACTTCTTAGGTCATCCCATTATTTTATTCACAAAGGAGTAATCTGGAAGGCTGGAACTGTGTATTATTTCACGTGTATCTGTCACTCTCTCTAGACTGTTTTAGATCATAGAAAGTCTTTGTGTTTCCATAAACATTTGATTAAGGAAACCGCACATTAAGTGATTGTCATCTGTGGTTCTTTAAGCCATTAGATTAAATATGATGACTCCGTGTTTAGCTCAGTCAGGTGTGGCCAATTGAAATATGGTCCACACCTGGTCAAAAGATATTCTCTGTTATTTATGCGAGCTAGTGGTTGATTTGAATATTATGAGCCGGCTGTTTAGGACAGATAACAAGTGCTGGCACTGCAGAAGCCAACAATTGTACTTCTGTATAAACTGTACTAAACCTGGTGTGGGCCTATACAGTGCTCAGCATATATGAGTACACCCCATTTTGAAAATATTTGTATACATTTCTCGGAGAATATGGGTAATATATATTGCTGCATTTAAACAAAGCAGGTTTATTAAACAGATATATTTATTAATATAATATTTTAGTCACCGAACATCTGTAGAAATGGAAAACTAATTAATTTAAATTCATGCAAAATTTTGCAAAACAAAACTACAAACCACAACATTTCAACAAAATTGTATATATTTTTTGTTTCTCTTGATTTTTACTATTTTTGAAAATTTTATTTTATATTTTTACCTAACATATAAATTTGGGCTATTCATTTTTAAACCATTATTGTAAATAATTTTGTTAGATAAGCTCCAGATTTGGCTTTATTACTGACTAAACTAATGTATATGCACAAATATAAAATTGTAAAGCATCCTATAGAAAATATGAATCTAAATTAGAGATTTGTGGGGGTGTACTCAAATATGCTGAGCACTGTATGTGGGTAAGTATGCATGTGTATGTGTGTGTATATATTATCACTTTATATATTATTTAATACAAATAAAAATGTATGGCGGTTCATTCCGCTGTGGCGACCCAGATTAATAAAGGGACTAAGCCGAAAAGAAAATGAATGAATGGATGATAAAAAAATGTACATCTTGAAATTAAATCTTTTATAAAACAAACTGTATTTTTATACACAAGAAAGATGTCCGCGGCTGCACATTTAACATTTATTTCTACACATTATATTATTATATACAGGCCCGTAGCCAGCCTGGTGAAAGGGGTGGTTCTTTTTTATTATTTTTTTGTTTGTTTTTGCAGTTATTAACCTCATTTTCTATTATGATCTATAACCATACTGCATTTAGTTAAATTTTAAGCAATATTTTTGGCTGGATTAGCTTGTCGGATGGTCAATTTTTGATGTCCCGAAAATATTTTTTAAAGATTTGAAATAAAGAAATATGAAAATAATTTAGATTTTTTTAAATACAAAGTTATTAAAGCCATTAGGATTTACCATATTAACCATTAGGAAAATGTTGTCATTTATTAGACAAATACCAAACTGGCCAACACATTCAGCTTTCTTCAGTCAGAATTTGGCCATTATACATAATAATAATAATAGTAATATTAATAATGTAGAGCAGGCGTATCTAAACTTGGTCTTGGAGGGCCAGTGTCCTGCACAGTTTAGCTCCAACTTTATTTAAAACACCTGCCTGAGGTTTCTAGTACACCTAGAAAGAGCTTGATAAGCTGATTCAGGTGTGCTTAATTGGGGTTGGAACTAAAATTTGCAGGACACCGGCCCTCCAGGACCGAGTTTGCACACCCCTGATGTAAAGCTTAATGATTTTTTATAGCTTGTTACGAAAAATTTAAAAATTCATGGATAACAGCAGCCTAATACTTTTAAAAATTGCTATAATATGGGCCGCTTTTGGTACTTCGGACCATTACATTGGTCAATTTTTTCTTTCATGAATAAGTTTCAAAAATAGAAGTTAGGCTACTTGTAAAATGTTTTTTTCTATTTAACAATAAGTCACTGGCGAAAGATGACTTCACTTACGTCATATTCTGCGTGGTCTTAAAACATTTGATGGGTTATTTGCACAATTTATGATGGCATGGCAATCAAAATAGGACAAATGAGAAAAAATAGTGACTAAAATTCTAGACCAATGGCAAATTCTGGACGTTTGTGAGTGGGGGTAGGTTTGAGCCACCCGAACCCCCCATGGCTACGGGCCGATATATATGCTATCTCTGAGACCATACAGTAAGTGGGAATAATAATAACAATATCAATAATGAAATAATGAATAACAATAAAACAAATGAGCACAAAAATGTCAAATTAAAAATATATGTGTGCTTATTTCAATATTTTGTTTTGTTTTTGCCCAAAAGTACAGTTATATAGCTAAATAAAGAAATGTGTGTAGCATTTTAATATATTCAGGAAACAAACTGCATGAAACCACCTTTTAAAATAGAGGTCAGATCATTTTACAGGTCATTTCACAATGTCATTTCGAAACCATAGCGAAACCAATGTGATTTATTTTATTTCTTTAAAATACACAACTTTGTCTTTGGATCTGTGAAAGAAGTCCACAAATATGTGGGAGATGAACTTACAGGCATGTTTATCCGAAGCGATATCCTTTTTCTTGTATTTTTCTTCTCATCTTTCTTCTTAGAATCCATTGCAGTGCTGCCCATTTCCCAAAATAATGGTTTTGTTCTTTGGCAAAGGCTTATTTAACGCTGGAAACCAGAATAAAAGCCATCGCTCCAGCATATGAGAGCAACAGAAATATAATCGGCTACTTAAGTTAATAGTATATTTCTCGATTCCTAAGGCTTTTCCTTCGGTTTCAGAAAAACAAACACGTGCGCCCTCGGTGTAAAAACAAACTTGCATGCGCGGATCAGCAGAGATGAAGGGAATGAGATGCTCTGCTGCTGCTGTGCGTGTGTGTGGAGCATCAGTGCGCGCGCACGCGTGTGTATGGAGGAAAACCGCGCTGCATCCAGCCATCAGTCAAGTGACGTTGCGTTTGGGGGCGGGACTACAATGCACGTTCAGTTACTACGGTTACAAGTGATGATTCCGCAGATTAAAGAAATAGTTTTTGTTTATGTGTGTTTCGTGTGAGCATTATATATTAAACCTTTATTGATCCTCCTTCGACTTAGTCCATTTATTTATCAGGGGTCGCTACCGCGGAATGAACTGCCAACTTCCACCATATTCATCAATTAACCTATAGCGCATGTCTTTGGACTTGTGGGGGGGAAACAGAGCACCCGGAGGAAACCCAAGCCAAAACGAGGAGAAGATGCAAAATAGTTTAATCGTTTTTTCGAACAATTAAAATAATTGAAAAAAAATGTCATGCAAACTCCACACAGAAATGCCAACTGACCCAACCCGGGACTCGAGCCAGCGACCTTTTTGCAGTAAGGTGAGAGTGCTAAGTTAACCGCTAAGCCACCTTGTCACCCTTCAACATATTCAGAAAAAATATATTAATAATGGAATAATAATGATAATAATGGGGAAACTATTAACAGAACAAGCTACTAAAAATGTTAGCAAATAATTATGAAACTTGTCTTATCAACCTTGTTTTAATCAACAAATATTTAATTAACATACAAATAATTAATTCATATATGATTGCTAATTGCTGTAATAATTATATGTTTTTAGAATATGAAGTGACAATTCCATGTGACAACTATTAAAACACAGAAAGGCCTGTTTTTTACTGTTTGTATATCATTAAAACAGAATCTGTCAATTATTTTACTGTAGGTATACTATTAAAACACAGGAAAAAGTCTACTTTTATACAAAAGTATACCATTAAAATAAAATATAAATAAAAATTTAAACATATACATTTTAATATAAAAACCCTTGTATTGATAAAAAATGTTTCATGTTTTTACAGTAGTTTTACAGTAGTTTTACCTAATTTAATGTTGTAGTTTGTGTGGAGTTTGCATGTTCTCCCTGCCTTCGCGTGGGTTTCCTCCGGGTGCCTCAGTTTCCCCCACAGTCCAAAGACATGCGGTACAGGTGAATTGGGTAGGCCAAATTGTCTGTAGTGTATGAGTGTCTGTGTGGATGTTTCCCAGAGATGGGTTGCGGCAGAAAGGGCATATACGCTTCGTAAAAACTTGCTGGATAAGTTGGCGGTTCATTCCGCTGTGGCGACTCCGGATTAATAAAGGGACTAAGCCGACAAGAGAATGAATGAATATTTTGCATGAATTTAAATGTAATAACTTTTCATCTCTAAAGATGTTCTGTGACTAAAATATGATATTAATAAATATATCTGTTTAATAAATCTGTTTTGTCCAAATGCACTAATAAATATTACCCATATTCACTGAGAAATTGATAAAAAATATTTTCAAAATGGGGTGTACTCATATTTGCTGAGCAGCACTGTATATTTTTACAACAAAAAGTGCTATCATGGAATCCTTAACCATGCTCACACTGCCCTCTTGTGTTCAACCCTTTTTGGCCAGTAGAGTTCGCTATACACTCATATTTACATAAAGATACACAAATACTTTTTAAAGTTTAACTAGCCTAAAAATTAAAGAGCTCGGCTGCATTACAGTCTCACATTTGAAAACTTCACAGTCTCAAACAAGGTCCAACCCAGAATCAACAAGTTATTCACTATGGTCCTTAACACACAATATCCCGGATCCCGTTCCAACGCGACAGAATATATTCCCGAAAACGCTTCAGTTGAATTGCTGAAGGTGTTTTTTTGTTGTTGTTTATACACACAGCACTGGACCCATACGTTGATACCGGACGTTTCTCGGGGCCCAGGTCCGGATCTGGGCCCTCAGTAATCAGATCTGTGGGTGGTTCTTCCTCTTCTCCGCCGGCTGTTGCTTCTGTCATAGTTTAACAAAAACACGGACGCTGTAATAAAGGATCAAATTTGATGCCATCAAATTTATTTACGCCATCTTGACGCGCAAACTTGTTAATTAATAGTTTTATACTGGACGAATAAAGATGGACTTTAACGTGAAGAGATTTGCAGCGGACGCTGGTACTTTATTCAGTCGGGCGGTGCAAGTAAGTGACCTATATTCGCTGTACAAATGCGTGAAGCGGTAAAATAAGTTTTATTTAAACAAATTGACCCTAAACACAGGCATTTTCTGACATAAATACGATTTAGGATATATTACTCGCAGTGTTTATGTCTTTCTCGCTCATAGCCTTTCTCTTTGGAGCTGCAAATCTGTTTTGCTCATTTACTTTAACGTTACATTAAATTGTCTGGTTTCTCAAATGTAACCGCAAAACCAAGTTTTAAAGGACGTTAGACGTATTTTCTTTTGCAATGTGGTCGAAGTACATGTATAAATACTGACATGTTCACTTTCCAGATTGAGTTTGTGCGGCTAACGCTAACAGGCTAAAGTAGAGTTTAATCCGACAGAGCTCAGCATATTTACACACTAAGGCCGTGTCCTAAAACCTGCTGAGCTGTCTAAGTAGACAACATTTGTAGCCACATCATAAAGATGGACATATTTGCTGTTAATAAGAATATTCACGTGCCTATGTTTACTAGGGTTTGAGACCCAAAACATATTGTGTCTGTCCAGTCTTTATAGTGAAGCCTGGCTGACTGTGTATAACGTTATTGTTGAAGTAAAATTTTGAGATTACATTATTGATTGAACACCTTTCATTAAATATGTCGAGAATACGTTGAAACATTTATTTCAATACATAGCTATGTCATGGTGTTTGACATATGAAAACAATGGTCACTTTTGTTTGAGTTCACTTTGGTTTTTAGATATTTGTAGCAGTAATATGGCCAAAGATTTACTCCCCACACTTATAAAATGTCTGTTGTCTTCACAAACAGTTCACAGAAGAAAAATTCGGTCAGGCTGAGAAGACAGAACTGGACGCACATTTGGAGACCCTCCTCACGAGAGCTGAATGCACTAAACACTGGACAGAGAAGATTTTAAAGCAAACAGAAGTGCTACTGCAGCCAAACCCAAGTAAGCTTAGTTGGACATCTGTATCTGATAAGTCATTAATTTTAAACAATTAAAAGATTTCTAAGGAGTTGTAGTTAATTGTGTCTGTTTTCACAACTTTCTGTACAATTCAATAGAAGTATTATTATTTTATCGAAAGGTTTGACTTTCTAACTAAACGGTTATTTATTTAGTCTGTATAACTAACTATAGTAGTTCACTCTGTATAGAGCCTCACTGTGGTGTCAAATATAGTTAGTGACACACTGAATATGCGATTCACATTATAGAGCTGATATTTCACATAAGTTTGTAATATTGTTGTTGTTAATATCTACATTTAGATGCCAGAATAGAAGAACTATTGTATGAAAAACTCGACAAGAAGGCCCCACCACGGATGAACAACCATGAGCTTATGGGTCAGTCTATGATCGACTCTGGGAATGAATTTGGGCCTGGAACAGCCTATGGTAAGCAAAGTGCCCCAAGTACACATATTAGAAGTGCATTGTCATTTCTCTTAAACTTCAACCCAAGCTTAAGTACACTGTATGGTCTCACAGTTTGCTTAAATATTTACTCTGTTGATCAATTAATCCTAATGATACCGATTTGGTCCATTTCTGTTCAAAGGAAATGCTCTGATAAAGTGTGGCGAGACAGAAAAGCAGATTGGAGGAGCGGAGCGAGAGTTCATTCAGACCTCTGCCATTAATTTTCTCACGCCTTTCCGCAACTTTCTAGAAGGAGACTTCAAGACTATATTGGTGAGATCAGGCAGCCACAAGAATTGGCGAAACATCGATTTCTAAAACTTCTGGAAACATTACTAGATGTTTAATACTGTTTAGTATTGTTTTTAACCTTCGTGTGCTGTAATATCCTATCCTTTTATTATATTTGTGGCCCCATTGACTTCAATTATAATGCCATTTTTTTGTAGCAAAGCCATGACAGCATATAATCATGCATTCTTGATGTTGGTGGTTTTCCCTGTTGGGAAGAGGTAAAATGTGTCATTTTTTTTACTGTTGTGTTTTGTTGAAAACTGTGTCAAAATAAGATTTATCATCAAAAATAATTCAATTTGCTGAATACAGAGAAAGTTGTGGCCAAATTAAGACTTAAAATCACCCCAGTGGATGAAAACATCCCCAACAGCACATAAGGGTCAAGTTCAAACACTTAACAAAAACTGCCTTCTTTCATCTCCAAAATATTGCACAGATTAGGCCATTTCTCTCACGACCTGATGCGGAGAGGCTTATCTATGCCTTTATCACTTCACGTCTTAATTTTTGTAATTCACTTTTTGGGGGTTCACCTACAAGTCCTCTCAGTAGATTACAGTATATTCAAAATTCCCCTGCACGGGTTTTGACACACACATCATCACACCACTATATTACTCCTGTACTTCAACAACTACACCGGCTTCCTTTTAAGTCACCGATTGATTTTAAGACCTTGATTTTAACCATCAAACAGTACATGGGCTAGCACCTGGTTGTATTTGTGACCTGGTGACTCTCTCCACTTCAGCCCGCAGTCTTCGTTCGGCATCAAGATTTACCCTGTATCAGCCGTGCTGTAAACTCAAGACCATGGGTGGTAGGGTGTTCTCATACAGTGCGCCCAAGCTGTGAAATGCTCTACCCAACAGCATTAGGAATGCCACTTTTCTGGACTGTTTTAAGAAACTTCTTAAGACTCATCTTTTTAGCATTGCTTTTGACTTAGGATGACCATTTTGTTACCTTTTTTATTTTATCTTATTGTTGATATTCTTATTGTTTTATTGCATCTTTTTTATTCATGTGCTGTTTCTGCTATTGTTGTTATTTTGCCTTGTATTGTTAGTATTTTGACTTGTGCTTTTAGTCTAAGAAAAGCGCTTTACAAATAAAATGTATTATTATTATTATTATTATTATTATTAAGCTGCTTTTTCAATCACCACGATTCATGCAATGTAAATGTAAAAGGTGTTCATTTTGGATCTTTTTTTCGCAAGTCTGCAACTTGCTGATGGAAAAGAATTACACAGCTTTGACATCTCATAATCTACCTCAAACTTAAGCAGAAACATAGAAACTGAGATATGTTCTGCCCAAGTCGTGTTTGTGGTTAAAGTTTGGGGTTTAGTGTAATAAATGTGATGTTTTGATCACAATTTCAAATCTATTAATTAAATTATTTTTATTATAAGTAAAAAAAAACTAAACTAAACATTTTGAAATCTGAACAATTCTAAACAAAAGAAATGCTGTTTGTCAGTCTTAAAGTATATGTAAGCTGTATATATGTAAGATATATTTTGTTAAGGTCAGTTTTTAATACCAGAAATTCGAGTTTAACAAACTAATTGCATCTACTTCTTTACAGAAAGAGCGCAAACTGCTTCAGAACAAACGATTGGACCTTGATGCGGCAAAGACCAAGCTAAAGAAAGCAAAAATGGCTGATGCCAGAGCTGTGGTGAGTTAAAATTGTATTTTGCCCTTAACAATGACACATTGCTGCCAGATTTCATTTTTACAAATGTAAACTACATCCTAGATGATGTGTTTTCAAAGTAGGGGCCACAAGAGAGTGCTAGGGGTCTGTATAAAAGCATGAAAATATTAATATAAATGTAAAACTAATATTTAAAAAAGATACAAAAATAAATGCAGATTTTATTTATGTAAAAAGTAACATGGTAGTTTTAAATAAAAACAGAGTGTTTGTGGATACTTAAAGTCTTAAATGCCACAGTATAACATATAATAATATTTAAAATGTCTTAAATCGGCGTTTACAAAACAAAATTACAAACATTTTTTTTTACCAGAACAAGATCAATCTAAATCAGAAGGCATGTATCTATTCAGCTTATTCTCCGCGTATGAGCGAGCGCATCCATTTGATTCTTTTTAGCTCTCATTCACTTCCATTAATTTTTAGAACCTATTTCTTTATAATATGAAATGAGTGATATATAATATAATCTTTTACAACATAAATTGACACTATAAAAGAAACATATTTTTACATTGTAGGATGTTGATCTCTTGCACAATCATTTTTATGGGTCTATGCCAACAACAAACAAACAAAAATCCCTTAGCAAGCATATTAATTAAACATGACGCTTGCCATCTTTTTTTAAATCCATCTCTTTACTGTCTCTTGTTTTTGTGCTGACACACGACAGCCTCTCAGATCTACCCCTCCACCAGGAGATGTTGGTTATGTTGCCAACGTCTCCTTCATGGTGAATTTTCTCCATGTGAAGTGGCTTAAGGTTGGTTTGTGTGTCTTTCACCCCAGTGCCAAGTTCCACTCTTCTTCTGTAAAAGAGCCACCTTTAAGATATGCTAGTTCCTCTTTAAGCTGTTGATTAAGCTCTTTTGTCCCGGATATTAGCAGCGCGTGTGTTCCCAGGTTCCTTTTTTGTTGTGCATATAGAGTTCGGAAAGAGGATATCCATGTTTGCTCAACATCGTGATGACATTTCAAAACTGATCTGCGCACTTGCTCACAGTTTCACAAGAGAAGTAAAGAAGTGCTTCAAGATTGTCTCCTCATGACAAGCACTCAACCTACACACACACACACATACACACACAACAGTGAATTGTGAGGACAATCCATAGGCATAATGGTTTTTATACTATATTTTTATCAGCCTGTACACCTAACCCTTTTTAATTTCTCAAAAAAAATTTAAAAAATTGTATTTTAAGCCTTTTTAAGTCCTCATAAGTTTGTGAATTGTGAGGATATTCCATGGGCATAATAGTTTTTATATTGTATTTTCTATAGTCTTATACGTAACCTTTTTATGTTCTCAAAAAACAAGTTCTGTATTTATAAGCCTTCTTAAGTTCTAATAAGTCATTCTCCTTGTAATACCTATGCAATACCCTTATCATTTTAGACATTTGAGTCCTTTTATGTCACACAAACACACACAGTACCCAAACAAACAATTGGCCTCTTCCAAAACAGGAAACATGACAGTTTGCTCTGATTTTCTGTGAAGTGAGCAAGCAATTCTTAGTCGATTGCTGCAGATAGTCTTTCCTACAACTGTTTTGTTGCAAATCAAATTGTAAAAAATATGCGGAACTCAGCAGTTTTCAATATTTTGTGATTCATGTTTGTTTGTTTTTTCCATTTGTTTATTATTTTCCATTTATTTATATTTATTTATTTTGAATTGCATTATGGGACCTTGATCTTTCCTCCAAAAACTTTGATATTGAAAATTTAAAAAAACGCTTATTGACATGTTTTATTATTGACATTTTAATAGTTGGCGACGCAGTGGTGCAGTTGGTAGTGCTGTCGCCTCACAGCAAGAAGGCCACTGGTTCGAGCCTCAGCTAGGTCAGTTGGCGTTTCTCTGTGGAGTTTGCATGTTGTCCCTGCATTCGCGTGGGTTTCCTCCGGGTGCTCCGGTTTCCCCCACAGTCTAAAGACATGTGGTACAGGTGAATTGGGTTGGCTAAATTGTCCATAGTGTACGAGGGTGAGTGTATGTTTCTCAGAGATGGGTTGCGCCTGGAAGGGCATTCGCTGCGTAAAAACGTGCTGGATAAGTTGGCGGTTCATTCTGCTGTGGCGACCCCGGATTAATAAAGGGACTAAGCCGACAAGAAAATGAATGAATAAATAAAATGTAATAGTTTAATATATTGTCATTATTGGCATTGTAAATTAACTGCCTGTAATCTTCCTGTTAATTTAAGGACTTATTTCTTTATGTGTTGTATATTGTACTAAAATTTTAAGTACTAAAATGTAATACTTTGTTTAATTGCAGAGTTGAATTTTTAACATCAAATGTCAACAGAGCAGAGATCAAGGCTAGGTTTCCCACATTTCTTGAAAGTACTTGAAAATACTTGAATTTCAGGCGTTTGGATTCAAGGCCTAAAAGTACTTAAAAACAAACATAGATGCTCGATTTAAATTTGAAATCAAATTAGTTTGCTGCTGTCAAAAACAAAACAAATTCTTAATTAAAAAAAAAACTTTCATATTACATGAACTATGACAAATAATGCAGTTTAAAAAAAAAAGCTGCATTTGAATATTATCAGTTTTTAATTCAACACATTTCATCAGTTCTTTAAACATGGTTGTTTAAAACGGTCAAAATCTTTGAAAATGACTTTCAAAACATCCCAAATACTCTGACATTTTATGTAAATGTTGGTTAATTAAAATGTTAAGTACAGTTAAAGCACTTTCATGGTGCTTTATATGCTGCCAGTGTGAATTAAAAAAAGGTGCTTGATTTGAAATTAATGGTGCTTTAAAAAGTCCTTAAATCTGCTGTTTATTATAGAGTGGGATAGGGCTGCACAATATATAGTTTCAGCATCGATATCGAAATGTGATCATTCGCAAAAGTCCCATCGCAGAATATGCAATTTTGAGTGAGACTATATATTATGATATTATAAGTTATTATTTTCGTGTGTTTTTGATACCTGTGGCGGTTAAAAGCATCCATGGATAAGAAACTGTAGCTTTTGTAACTTTAATAAGGATTCATTTATTTAATTGTTTTATTTTTATTATTCGATTACTGTATCTGAATACTTTGTTTGTTGTTCTATTTTATTCAGATGCACTTCTCTATACAATCATCCCAATCAATCTAAAATAATAAATTCTTTCCAAATAGAGATAATCAAGTCATCTGGTGAAATGGTATTCATATCGAATTATATATCACAGAATCACAAAATATTGAAATGTTAGATTTTTCCAATATCGTGCAGCCCTAGAGTGGGAACTCTTTCAAGATCCCATAATGCAATTCATTTTTTTACAGTGTAGTTTATGACAAAATACCACATTTAATTATTGTTTCTATGATTAAACTGTGTTCATTTGATCAATTTAATGTTCAAAAGTCTAAATTACTCTGAAAAAAGGACGTTTGTTGATGTTTTGTATTTGTGCTTTTTTATAATTTTATTTTATAATTTCACAATAACAATGTTATTTATGGTAATTTGACAGAAACTTGGGTTAGCATGTTAAGTTCTCCCCCTTCTTAGTTGCTACCATTGTGGCTGTAGTCCAGTGTTTCTCAACCATGTTCCTGGAGGACCACAAACACTAACACTGCATGTCTCCTTTGTCTATCACATCCATTAAAGGTCTTTCAGACTTTGCTAATGAGCTGATGATCTGAATCAGGTGTCTTTGGTTACGTAGACATGTGCTGCATGCCAATTCACAGAATGTTCACCGTTTGCAGAATGCTCTAAAAGAATGTACTTTTTTGATTAGGGGAAAAGTATACACATTTGAGTGTGTTACAGAAGAGTATGCAAGCTTTGTAAAAAAAAATACCTCCTCGTTAATAGATTGATATGTTGCTTAGTTACGTCCCCTGTCAATCATCCCAACACATCATCCACATTTCTTTCATATTTGCCAACCTTATTGGATAAGCATCAGCGAGGACATCCTGGGAAAATCTGCCATTCGCGGGTCTTTCATCTAGAAATCTCAGGTGTTTGGGTAATTATGCATTCAGAAGTAAATTTTTAAACATATCTTGATATAAGTTCACATTGTTGCAGATGAAATATAACATGGAAAACACTATTTAAATATTTTCCAGTTGGCTAGGTATTAATTAACAGTTCATACAAACATCTTTACCGAAGCCTCTCTACTTGAAAGTTTGTCTCGCATGTCCACCACGTTTGTAGTTTATTTACGCTTTTTACCTGACTTTTTTATAGTTCTAATTGAATTTTCATCCAGTGCGCAATGTATGGAGGGTATTTGAGTATGTACAGTTCTACTCTTCAAATGTTTACTGGAAATTGTAAACCATCCAGGAACCTTTGGCATACTCTTTTCATCATGCTATGGTTTGGGACACACTAATTCTATTTTGGAATGCTATTTGACTAGTATTCTAGATAGTATGTGAATTGGGTCACAGCAATGGCAAATGTGCAGAGCAGGTGGTTCTTCAGGAACGTGGTTGAGAAACACTGCTGTAGTCTATGTGGATGTTTTAGTTGTGAAGCTAAGCTTCTATTGTTACTGTTTTAAAATGCTGTTCAGATGTGGGCAGAGGAAGTGACAACGGTAAGCAAAATCTTCAGCTTTTTTTTTTTTGGAACTGCTGTCTGTGGAGTTCTATCTAAAGCAATGAACCAGAGACCATAGCCCCAACTGTTTCCACTGTTTTATTTTGGTGTGTCAGTGCATAATCAAAATCTGCATTCACTTCATAATCTCAGAAGAAGCAATCTAACATCCATCCATCCATCCATCCAAAAAAAGAAAATCAGATTCATTTTGAGATTCTGCATTTCACATATCACAGGGTTAGAGATCCAACTTCTCCACGAAGGTTTTACCAATTATACAGAGCTTCCTTAATACCAAGTAGTTGGTTTTAAAAATATCCATTACAGACTTTGGGAGGTTTTGTTTTCTGCATTGTTTTCCTTGCCCTTTTTAGGTGCAGTCATTTTTACCCCAACAAGAAAAGTTCCTTTCAATTTGCTCAAGTGGTTCTAGATATTTATGAATTTCTTTCTTCTGCTGAATACAAAACAAGATATTCTGAAGAAAATTGGAAACCAGAAGCCATCTGCATCCATGAAAAGAGCAAAAAAATAATATGAAAACCAATGGCTGTTTTTTTTCAGTATATCTTCCTTTGTGTTCAACAGAAAAGAGAAACTCAAACAGGTTTGGAACAAGTGGAGGATGAATGTCATTTAGGTAAACTATCCCTTTATATTTAAATAAGTCCTGACTCTCGTTCTCTTTCTTTCAGGCCGAGCAGGATCTGAAGATGACGCAGAGTGAGTTCGACAGACAGGCGGAAATCACCAGGCTTCTTCTGGAAGGAATCAGCAGTACACATGTGAGTGCCTGCCAGTCCAGATTTACTACACAATCCCAGTGTCTGACCTACAACAAGGCTGATCTCTCTTTCTGTTCCAGGCACATCATCTCCGATGTCTTAATGACTTTGTGGAGGCTCAGATGACATATTACGCCCAGTGTTACCAGTACATGGTCGACCTCCAAAAGCAGTTGGGAAAGTAAGATTTTTTTTTTATGGACTAAGATTATAAACGGATTAAACATAAATCTCTTCTTTTTTTGTTTTTGTAATCAGGTTAAAAAGAATTTTGTAATTAATGTAATTAAAAATCTATAAGCTAATATATCCGTTATGGGTTCCGAGTGTAAAGAATTACAGGGTTTCCGCGGGGTCTTAAAAAGGCTCAAATTTAAAATATTTTTGCACACTTACTTTTCCGATGTGCATGTACCGCTACATCTAATTTCAATTCAATTTCAATTCTTTTTTGTTGTTGTTGCTTGGTTTTCGTGGTGGTGTAGTGCTTTATTTCACTAGTCCAAATGTAATTTGCTCTATTACAACTACAAATGAGACCAACATGCAATACCAATCAGCTTTCTGTTATTGGGTAATATGTTGTCATCGCTGTGTTTGCAGAGGTACTGATGGCCATTTTCTAGGCTTTAGGAATAGAATGTTGGACCATTATTGCATTTTTAGCCTAAAAGTAGAGGACAGAAACTAGCTAGACAGTAAGTTGTGAATTGTTGAGTGGGCAAAATAAAAAAATAAAAAACATCTGTATTTTTTAGTAAGTGTACTTTTTTGCTTTTCTTCTTGCCTTAATAAAAAATGGAATTGTAGAGCAACCCATGTTCTGTTGTCATTAATATTTAATTTTAATAGGTAGAACTGTCCGAGATAAGAACGAAAGCAAGTGATGCATCAAAGTTTGATTTAAAAACTCTATGAATAAAAATCTTTATAATCATTATAATAAATAAACAGTTAGTTTAAGAATCCTTAATGATATTAATGATATGACCTAGTTCTGGAAGCTTTTTACTTCTCTGTTTATCTGTCTGATTTTACTGTTTGTTTCTTTCGACCGCCCCTTGTTATTTAAAAGAATATCCCAATGGCAAACCCATCAAGTATAAAAGCCTCGTCCATTTCTCGAGGTGTGCGATGCGGCGCCAGGCGAAAGTATAAAACGTTTGTTGTTTTTTTTCTGTAGTTCAGTGGTGCGTCTAACCTGCATTTATTTTACCACTAGCTTTGTGATTTTGCATTTTCTCTTTATGAGTATGCGTGTTTTTGATATTGTGATGTGGGTCTTAAATTTAATACTTAATGGTCTTAAAAAGGTCTTTAAAAGTCTTAAATTTGACTTTATGATATCTGCAGAAACTCTGAATTATCACTCATCTGTTTTACCCAAAATGTCTATATTGGTATATCCCTAATTACTGTTATTATTTATTTTTACTTTGCAGATGTTTTACATTCACATACAGAATTATTGCACACTACATGAAATGTCTTCTTGGAAAAAAATCACACTTTATATTAAATGGCCTTTATAATAATATTGCACCTGCATTGTGTAAATAATACATGTTTTTACATTACACTTATATATTTTTAATTATCTGCATGTAATTACATCAATAATTATTATCTATAATTACATTTATAACTACACTATTGACCCAAATCTTACAACTTAATCCAAAAAAACGTGTACCTAACCTTACCCATATTCCACTGCAATAGCACAATAAGTGCTGTGCAATACCACATGAACACTGTAAGTATATTGTACTTATTTTTTTTTTATGGAAGTACCTACTGTAGTAGTTAAGGCCAAACTGGGGCACTTAAACTCACCTTTACATTCTTCTCTCATGCAGCTTTCCTTCTGCTTTCACTTCCAACAATAACCAGTCCACGGCCAGCGGTGGAGCCGGTGTTTCTGTACCAATCCTGCCACTATCAACTCCTCTTCCCTCCACCACAAGCAACACGTCCTCAGGTTTCACCGAAATGCAGAACTTCAGCGGGAGCCGTAAAGCGCGAGTGCTGTACGATTACGATGCTGCCGGTAGCAATGAACTCTCTTTATTGGCCGATGAGGTTGGTGGTGCATTAACTTGGAATTAATTCCTAGTAACAACATTAACCAATCATATATGCCTTTTACTACTAGTTATAGCATAATGTTAAGATGACTAACCATTTAAAAGGTATGCAGAAATAGTGTGACTTACCAAAATCATTTTCATGTAAACGATCAATCAGTGTTTCAGCAATGGAAAGGCATCTAGAAAACAAAGGCATATGAAACAGCAATAAGCCCCAAGAAGCTTTTGTTCACAGTGAATTCATAACCGTTTCACAGGTTTTATTGCATTAATAAAACAGTTATTCCATAAACTTAACAATATGTCACAAAATAAAAAATAAGAAAGCAATTTACTTATTCAATTCTAGTTTATTTGTATAGCGCTTTTCACAATCATTATTGTTTCAAAGCAGCTTTACATTATTGCATTACTATCAAAATCAGATTAAAGTTAAGGTTATTAGTTATTATAACTTCATTAGTTACTACTAACTTTAACTCATTAACTAGTAACTAATAGCTGTTAAAGTCATTAAACAGTCATTTAACAGTTAAAGTCATTATATATAAACAAAGTAACCTGCAGTTATATAGTATGGTCTATGTGTACATAGAATAATAGTTACCAAGCAACAGTCAAGTGTATGTTTGTTGAGTAATGTCCAAGTCTTTTAAAGGCAAGTAATTTCATTCGGCGACCATCTTTGAAATGCTCCTTGGGCTTTCAAGTGCAGCTCTTATCTCTTTGAATGGGGAAATATCAAATTCTCTCAAAAAAGTTTGGCAATATTTTCATATTTGAAATCACCAATGAAATTTGAGAACGACTGTCAAAATTTAGTTTCTAAACATTCAAACATGACATAAAAAATAAACACATTTTAAAAAATCAGGTTGCCCAAGCTAAAATTTATTTTCTAAACATTTAAACATGACATAAAAAATAAATACATTTAAAAAAATCAGGTTGCCCAAGCTAAAATTTAGTTTCTAAACATTTAAACATGACATAAAAAATAAATACATTTAAAAAAATCAGGTTGCCCAAGCTAAAATTTAGTTTCTAAACATTTAAACATGACATAAAAAATAAATACATTTAAAAAAATCAGGTTGCCCAAGCTAAAATTTAGTTTCTAAACATTCAAACATGACATAAAAAATAAACACATTTTAAAAAATCAGGTTGCCCAAGCTAATGTGCATTACACCATCCTTCCTAATAGCTGTTTCAGGAGGGCTCGGTCATTATCCTGTCAATCAAACTATGTTACTACCATAAGAATCAACAACATTAGAATGTCTGTGGGCTCTTAATTTGTCTTAAATTTCAAAAACAAGATTTTAAGCCTTAAAAAGTCTTAAATTCACAGAAATAATCTGTTGTGGGTCATTTTAAATCATTTTAAACAGGTCGTAATTTTAAAATTTATCAAAAGTAAAGTTACCCAGTCGGCCCAACCAATATCCAACAATCCATCTAAACAATTTAATTTAACAATTTACACTCACCGGACACTTTATTAGGTACATCTTACTAGTACCTTTTGCCTACAAAACTTCCTTAATCCTTCGTGGCATAGGTTTAACAAGGTACTGGAAATATTCCAAAGAGATTTTATTCCATATTGACATGATAGCATCACGCAGTTGCTGCAGATTTGTCTGCTGCACATCCATGATGCGAATCTCTCGTTTCACAACATCACAAAAGTGCTCTATTAGGTTGAGGCCATATAAAGTACAGTGAACTCATTGTCATGTTCAAGAAGCCAGTCTGAGATGATTTGTGCTTTATGACATGGTGCGTTATTCTGCTGGAAGTAGCCATCAGAAAATGTGTACATTTTTTGTTTTTTTTTTCAGTCTTGGATTTTGGTGAGCCTGTGCAAATTGTAGCCTCAGTTTCCTGTTTTTAGCTGACAGAAGCAGCACCTGGTGTGGTCTTCTGCTGCTGTAGCCCATCCGCCTCAAGGTTTGACCTGTTGTGTGTTCATAGATGCTCTTCTGCAGACCTCGGTTGCAACGAGTGGTTATTTGAGTTACTGTTGCCTTTCTATCAGCTCGAACCAGTCTGGCCATCTCCTCTGACCTCTGTCATCAACAAGACATTTGCGCCCACAGAAGTGCCGCTCACTGAATTTTTTTTTCTTTTTCAGACCATTCTCTGTTAACCCTAGAGATGGTTGTGCGGGAAAATCCCAGTAGATTAGCAGTTTCTGAAATACTCAGACCAGCCGGTCTGGCACCAACAACCATGCCACATTCAAAGTCCCTTAAATCCTCTTTCTTCCCCATTCTGATACACAGTTTGAACTGCAGCAGATCATCTTGACTATGTCTACATGCCTAAATGCATTGAGTTGCTGCTATGTGATTGGCTGATTAGAAATTTTAGTTAACCAGCAGTTGGACAGGTGTTCCTAATAAAGTGGCCGGTAAGTGTATTCCTGTATAAAGACGCGTTTGGAATGCATAATTATCCGAAGAAGATATCTCTGCATGAAAAATTCTGTCTTAAATCTCCAATAATGTAGGTCATTAAATATAAAAGAAATGTGGATGATGTGTCGAGATGATTGACGGGACGTAACTAACATAATGTCCATTGATGAAGAAGTAGTGTATCCCAAAGCTTGCATACTTTTGTTACACATCTCACAAGTACATACTTTTAGGACATTGTATGTGAATTGGAATGCAGCGATAGTCTTTGGCAGTTTATAACAGCTTCCAACACAGCTCAACCAATAAGAACCAGAAGTGTGCATTTTATAATGTTCTTTATTTTTGACTTTAACGTCTCTCTTTTCTTTCAGGTGATCATGGTGAGCAGCGTTCCAGGCATGGACTCTGATTGGCTGATGGGGGAACGTGGAAGTCAGAAGGGAAAAGTGCCTATTACCTATTTGGAGCTGTTAAATTAAGAGGAATTGAGAGTTGTTGGAACCAAAACGGAGAGGTATGGTGAAATCCAGCTGTGCTGCGTAACATATGCAGCGTTTGACGTCTTGTGCTGCTCATATGCAACAGTATTTCATTGGACGTGACGTCTTAAAGTCCCAGTTTGGGAAGAGGTTCTAACTCAAGGACTGTTTACAAATGAATTAATGCAGAATATTTAAAACAAACAAACAAACAAACAAACAAACAAACAAACAAACAAACAAAAAGCCTTTGATGTGATTACCGCCAACATGCCTCCATATTAATATACAAAACTACAAAAGTGACTTATTTGAGTATCTACATGCGTTTACAAGAGTAAAGTATTAAGACTGATTGCCATTTTAATGGATTTTAAAAGTGGCTTTCTTGTACATGAACTCATTTTAGCATTTCTAGTACGTTTTATAAGATTTCTATAGAGGTCAAAATATGCCATAATTTATTTTCAGGGTTATTCTGCTTGGGTGTAGCTGACATTTGTTATTATCTGATGCAGTTTACATTTTTCTTTATTGCATTTGAGCACACAGAAAATGCTTTATTTGCACGCAGATGGCCTTTTTTGTTATGCATTATGAAACCGTGTCCTTTATATTTGCAGTGTTAAAAAAAGCACATGATCCAGTTATTCATTTCATAATAAAAACCGCATCTCTTTACTGATAATTGTATTTTTTTTATATACCCATGTGCCTTACAATCGTCTTAAGATTGATGTTTTTAGATTTGTTTAAAGCAAAAAAAAAAAAAAAAAGCCTTGTTGAGCAGTTGATGACTGCTAATTTGACACATTGTGCCTCCTATTTAATATTAAGCACAATTTCTTAGTTTACTCTGATGTTGTATTATAACTAAAAAAGGTTCTCTAACTGCATACATTCTGTGATTAATACCATAGATTTACAAACCATGTTTTCATTACTGAATAAACCAATTGTGTAGACTTTTTACACTCCTGTGGTTTTATTTTTGTTTGTCTCATTGAATGCGTATGTTTGGTATGCTCTGTATGCCTGGAATATATCATATATCCTGCAATGTATTTAACTTTTCACTATATTATGATGAATGAAGCAGAAATATCTTTTATCTGAAGCAATAATAACTTCCTCCATTTCCTGACAAGTTAAATAAATTTTGTGAAACTTTTATTTTATTTAACCTTTTGTTATTATTTAAAATAATAATTATTGTTGTTAACTTATTTGTATAATTAATTTTATTCATCTAAATTAATTCGTTTTTAATTTTATTATTATTATTATTATTATTTAACATTTTGTCACCTTAGGTTGACAAGGTTCTGTTTGACATTTTTGTCAAAATTGAGTTTTCACGTGTTCTTATTATATGACAACTTATTTACATGATGTGATGTTTTTTTTTTTATAAGTTGTTTATATTTTAAAACTTTTGATTAAAAAAAAAAAAAAAAAGTTTTTATCTACAAAGTCGCACACTAGCTTGGCTCTATCAGGTTTTTTTGTAAGCCAATCAGCATTTCGAATGCACGCACGAGGACCAATCAGAATCAGCTTTATTTGTCATTCCACCAGATTGCTCCACTGACAGCATGAAAGACCAAAAAGAAACTCAAAATCAGTCCAGTAAATAATGCTGCACCACACAAAATTGAGAAGAAACCTGCAACTGAAAAGATGTGTGTAAATGTGATGATTTAAAAGCATTTTTTGACATTGATGTGAAATGTTACATTTTACATCGCTGAAAAAAAGAAACAGTTATTAAAAATATATATATTAAATGAAAAATATTTCTATTTGTGTATAAATAGTAAAACATTTTTCAGTCTTTATTAAACTCATTTGCTCATTGTCTATTTTCTTTAAAAAAAAGCTTTAAATGTGATCTTAATCCTTGGTGGGCATTTAATACTTTAATTAATTCATTAATGGGGTATATAATTCAATATTAAGTCAGAATTATTAGCCACCCAAATGATTTTCCAAATGATTAACAGAGCAACGACATTTGCACAGTATGTCTGATAACATTTTTTCTTCTGGAGAAAGTTTTATTTGCTTTATTTCTACAATTAAAAGCTACAATAAAAGCAGTTTTATTTTTAAAAACCATTTTAAGGTCAATATTATTAGCCCCTTTAAGCTATATTAGTTTTCTATAGTCTACATAACAGTCGCTATACAAAAACTTGCCTAATTACCCTAACCTGCCTAGTTAACCTAATTAACCTAGTTAAGCCTTTAAATATCACTTTAAGCTGTATATTAGTGTTTTGAAAAATATCTAGTCAAATATTATGTACTCTCATCATTGCGAAGATCAAATAAATCGGTTATTAATAATGAGTTATTAAAACTATTATGTTTAGAAATATGTTGAAAGAAATCTCTCCGTTAAACAGAAATTGGAGAAAAAAATTTACGGGGGCTAATAATTCTGACTTCAAGTGTGTGTGTGTGTGTGTGTGTGTGTGTGCGTGCGTGCGTGCGTGCGTGTGTGTGTGCGCGCGTGCGTGCGTGCGTGTGTGTATAAATTAAAAAGCAGACTGATTGTTTTTGTTGAAATATAATGCTTCATTTAATGATCTACCAGATTGAACCTTATAATTCCAAATGGAAAATGACTTTTCAGAATTAGAATGTGTTATCTGCTTTTATCCTGTTTGTTTTACCCCGATTTGGACATTTAAGAGAATTTACATTTAGAGTACATTTAGGGTCTCTGTCATGTTATTATGTAAAAATGAACTGTTAACACGCATATTGTTTGCTATATGAAATGCAAATACTAAAGCTCAATATCTCAAAATCATTTAGAACGCAGATAGAATTCCAAGGTGAGGATTTGTATTATTTGCTTGAAAAAATCACCTTACACACAAACACATTTATTTATTTCTTGTACATATTTGTATTATACATATTAAATTTTTTTCACGTTTATTTGTATTTTTCTAACAAAAGAAATTGATAAATCCTTTTTTTAAAAATTTGGTTGGTACTGTATAGAAAAAACTGTATTATACATCTGACAGTGATATATTTATAATTTATTTATAAATTTAAGTTTATAAATTTAAGTTATTTATAAAAATGGTTTAAAGATTACTTCATACAAATTTTGATATAAATAATATTTGACAAATTGCAGTGTTATGGATAAAAGTACATATTATATGTTTATAATATGATAATCAATTAATAATAATATTTAATAATAAAATATTCCCTTTTATAAATATAATTTTTTTCTATTAGTAAATTCAAATGAGAAAAAAATGGCTTTAGTTTACAACATCCAGTTTTCAAAGATGGCAAAGTAATTAATTTAGCATAAACACTAGCATATTTTATGGTTGTGCAATGCTTTCAATAACACATTCTGTTTTTATTTATATATTTTATTTTATATCTATATATATATATAAAATATATATATATACTGTATTTATTAATAATAGTATATAAAAAAATTATATATATATATATATATATATATATATATATATATATATATATATATATATATATATATATATATATATATATATATATATATATATATTTATTTATTTATTTTTTTATATACTATTATTAATAAATACAGTTTCATAAAATATGACAGACAGTCAGCAGAGGTCAGGCTTTTCATTCTGTAATTATTTTTGATTTTTAAATAAACATTACAGTATTTTAAAACTGGAAAGAACCTTAAAGTTACACATGTAGTCAATATGTGCATTGCTCCTTCCATTATAATTTTAAAAACATTCCATAGAACAACTGTGCTTTGCTTTAAGTAAATCAAGAGTAACTACACTAACTACACTGTAAAAAATGCTCACACACACACACACACACACACACACACACACACACACACACACTAGATTTGCGTTGGGACAACAACATTTAAAAATTAAGTTCACTTTTTCCAAAACTAAGTAAAAAATAAAGTTGACTTAACTCAAAATTGTAAAGCAACTTGCTGCAGAGCTTTTTTTGAGTTGACTTAACTTTCAACCCAAGTACTGCACTTGACTCAATTTAAGTTGAGTAAACTCAAAAAAATCCTTAAGCAGGTTGCCTTAATATTTTAAGTTGAGTCAACTTTTTTACAGTGTGGATTGAACATAAATCAATTAAGTTCTCCCAAAAACTCAACAATTGTGTTGTTTCAGCTCATTTTAAATAAGTAGTTTGAACAAACAGCAAACATATATATATTTTTTTTGTGTAATTTAAGTCACTGATAAAACGTGCATCATTATAGACATTAGTCAGCCTGCTGGTGCTGGTGTTGTTATCATGTGTAAGGCGCGCGGATGGTCAGTGAGCACGGGGAGGGTTAAGAGGAAGTTGTGCTAAACAGGCTGTTGACTTCCTGTGCTGCTGTGGCTCAGAGGCTCATTCTTCATGCTTGTTACTCAGCTTCACATGCCGAGAGGACACGTTCAGTTCCTTCCCGAAAACAGCACTGAAAGAGACGATCTCTCAATAGATCTGCTCTCCTACGCTAAAACTCCTGACCTGCTTAACACTGGCACTACTTGTTAATTATAGAGCTAATAAACACCTGTGCTTTCTAACATCAGCGTTTAGGATTCAGTGTTTACATATGTAGAATATTTATATGAATTATTTTATATTTATTTAATATGATATCTACATTTATATGTATATATGTTAATGTGCGAATATAAAATATTAGTTTTGCTTTTTTTATCATTACCAGTAGTACATAAAAACATTGTGAAATTATTTTGATAATCAAATGTTTCTGTTTAATAAAATTATATTAAATTTATAGGGATGTCCGGATCCGATAGTATAATCAAGACTTGGACTCGATTGGAATCGGACGTTTCCTCTCAATTAGGACTATATATTCACAGAAACAGCAACACCTGCTGCATGACATCACTTTGTTGCAGAGACGCTATTGGTTAAATGCTGGCAAGGTAGAACATCGAAACAGCTTGAAGTGGAAATCGCAAGTTTTTTTTATTTTTTATTATGCTTTAAACAACATATACATGACAATATAGTAAACAAAACAATGCCAGCGTGATAGAAAGTAAATGATAACAACAATACATAAAATAAATGAAAAATAAAACAAACATAAAAATAAGAGTATAAATACTTAACTAAAATTCTCACAAATATAAATAAGCAGGACCTTTAATCAAAAATATTGAAACTAGAGCACAGTTGGACAGTTTTAACGGCCTTTCGATTAGCACTATGCTGAATAGTGCATAAGTAATTTTTCAGTTCCTTATAAAACACAGTAAAACAAGGTTTTTTTGTTGGAAAATTTACACTTATGAATATGAAACTTAATTAACAAAATAAATAGGTTAATAACAAAAGCTTCATTATTCAAATTATCACAATTAAAATATCCAAAAATTACATTTTCATAATGCAGATGGAAATCGCAAGTTTGTCTGGAGGTATTATAAAGTTGATGACGACAACATTGCCATAACAAACTGAGAAATGTAAACACTTGGGATTGCCAGCCGGAGTGCCGGGTATTTTAAGTTGAGGTGCTCTTTGTTTTTATATTAGATGTTTTTATATTTACTGTTGCACTAAATTCCAAAATTGAAGTTGATGTTATTTATTACTTGATTGTTCAAGCTACTCCACAGAGGTGCTCTTTGTTAACAGAGTTGTTGAATGTTAAAATGAGGTGAATTAAATAAAAAAATAAGGAACATTCTGGATCTGTTTCTTCGCTCT